GTAGGCTAATCAATTCATACATGGGCTCTCTGATCCGTGCGTCACACTCACACTAGGAGCAGCACGCACATATCCACATACACACACATTCCAGGGGTTAATCCATTACGGAGTCAATCCTCTTAATCTGCCGTTCCCTGGGAAAGAAAATGCTTACTGGGAGAGTTTGATGTTCATGCTTACGTACACTCAAAACATGCCAGCACACATACAGAGACAGACAGGCTCACAAACTGACAGAACAATGAATTATTAATTGTATGGGGTAATTAACTCCTCTGCTATAGTGGAGTATACCCCCTCGCCACCCCAGCCCGCCCCCACAATATCCAGCAGCACCTCTGTGTGTGTGTGTGTGTGTGTCCGCCCGTGCATGTCTAAGACTTTGCGTGCTTGTGCGCGGTTGCGTTCACGTACATGTCAGAATTTGTTAAGCTGAACAATTTGCCGGCACGAGTTGGTGTGTGCCTGTCACTGTGCTTGAGGGACTGCTTATTTCATGAAGGCATATGCATTTTATATGTGAGTGCAAGTGAGAGATAGACTCAGTGAGTAATAGGTGGCAAGTATGTGCCAGATGTAGGAACTGGGACGGTGACAGAATTTGGAATAGCATTAGATCAGGAGTGGAACAGAATTATAGGAGGTTAGGAGGGAGGAAGATGGAGTAAATGAGATGGGTGAGGGGGGGACTTTGAATTTCAAAACTACTTTACTGGGTCAGTGAAAATTCTAAAAACTTTTCATTTGAAGTCAGCACATCATCAGACCAACTAGGGTACTCCAAATAGAAAAATATTGTGAAAAAGTGGCAAGCAATAAAAACTTGGCATCATGGATGAGAAGCCAGATTGCATCAAAGAGGCACCAAGATGATAAAACAGCTCGGTAAGCGGTGTTGGATCTCTTTTAAATCTAAATTGTTCACTGAGAAAAGGGCAAGGAGGGGGAAGAGGAAGGATATCCATATCAATGAACATGAATAAATACAAGAATGAACAGGAGGAGAGGGGAAAGAAGTAAAAGGGTGAGAAAGAGGCTGTATACTCAAGAGAGCAGGCGCAGGGCTGAGACAGAGGTTAGCTGAAGGGGAAGAGAGTAGTAAAGATATCTGCAAAGGAGAGGGGCAGTAACAGAGAAAAGGTAGCGTGAGCCAATTCAAAGTAAGAGGAGAAAATTAATAGGCAGGGTGAGAGAGAAGGGGATAAGAGGGTGTGTATGTGTTGTGTGAGTTGATTAGGGGTTGACATCAACTGAAATTTGCCAATATTAGTGCCAATATGAGCTGAGTTTCAGTACTGCTAACCAAAGACTTTTTAAGATAATTACTAAATATCAGTGGTGGAAGAAATAAAAACAGTAATACCACAGTGTAAAAAACTCTGCTACAAGAAAAGGTCCTACATTCAAGATGTTACTTAAGTAAAGGTATTAGCATCAAAACATATGGTACTAAAAGTACTCATTACACATTTCACATTAATGTATATCATATTATTGGATTATAATTATTGAAGCATTATTGGGTACATTACACTTAACAATGCAGCTCATACTGTATGCCTATAATTTGAATTACTGGTGGGTAGCTTGTGAATTTTCCACTGGAGATCAATAAAGTCTTATTATAATGTAATTTTTTTTATATTCATCGGATTCTGAAAAGTAACAAGCAACTAAACTTTTAAAATAAACCTAGTGGAGTATAAAGTACAATATTTGCCTCTAAATTGTAGTGAGGTTGAAGTATATAGTAGCACAAAATGAAAAGTAAAATATAGATACAGTACCTCAAAATTGCACTTAAGTACGGTACTTGATAAATGTACTTAGTTACTTTCCACCACTGCTAAATATGAATAAATAATAAATATTAATAAAAATTGTAAAGTAACATAATCGTCTAGAATAAGCAACATTCTCATTGAAAACAAATGTATCCTGCAAGACATTTGATGCCAATGTTTGATATGTTTTTGATACTCAGTGCTGCAGACACATTTTAGTCGATACCAGAAAAGTGTTGAGGTTGGATACCCAGCCCTAATACTGATGGAGAAAGTGTAAAGGAGAAGGTCGGAGTACGTGCTCCCTTTCCAAGTAGGGAGACAGAGCGAGGGAGGTCTGGTTTGGGTGGCAGCCAGAGAGTGAGAGAGAACTGCTGAGATGTGGGTCATCAGGATACCCGTTGGCACCGGGACACATTGATGATCACAGCAGTCACATGGTACAGCAGTCAATATGGGCAAAGTGGCCTCATTCTACCCTCTAACCACGACCACACACACACATAATGCCCGCCCCCCCAAAGCAGTTTTTCTTGCCTGCTTCCCTCAGTCAGCCACAACAAAGTGGTTGTTTGAACTTTCTATTAAATTTTTCTTGGAGTTTTACCTTTTACTGTTTTCATATCGTGTGTAATTTATTTTGATGAGCACTTTGCACTGTCCTTTATTTTCCAACTACTTTTGATTTTCACCTTTTGTTCCTTTCTCGCTTTCCTTGCCAAATGCGTGGCCATAAATCTAAACACCCACCACTGCTACCTTTGCGTCTCCAATGCGCCACAATGACCCGCGAGAATGAATCGACTCAGCATTTTCACTAGTGCGACTTCTTTTTTTACTGTAGTGAGCACTTTCTCTCTCTGGGTCCAGGGAGTGTGTGGGGGCGGGTGAGAGCGCGGTGCCACAAAGGCTGAATCGAACCAGACACACACCTACAACCAAACTCATACACACGCACACACATCTAAAGTCTAATCAATGCCTGTTAACAAGGCCAAGACTGCAGTAGAAACAGGTGGGTTGATAGCACCGTTTGTGTGTGTATTACACAGTTCTACAATACTTGGTGAAGGTCAGTAATGGGGTTTCACAATGCAGGGTGCCTCAGTGTTGCAAGGGCAGCCTATAGGGATAGGTTTGTGGTTAAAAGTACTCATCCAGCTGGTTGTGTTCCTCTAACTGGACTGTATGGACAGCTGCGGGCAGATTGGGCCTGCTGAATTCTAAAATTGAAAAGCAGCTTTTTATGTCAAAGCAATCCCTCCAGGATTAAATATGATGAGCATCTGTCATAGACTCACACTCAACTCCTACACGCAATCCACACATACGACTCCTGTGATAACATGCAGCGTGCATTGCGACCATAGAGGTGAAGGCACTGTGAACCAGAAACAAAGTTTTTTCTGTTACACACACACATGCACTGTAACCGACCCGTGACCCCTGTCATGATGATACCACAACTCACTGATGTACTTATTAAAGCCGCCATGAGTTCAGGCCGTGCAGCCAGCCATATGGTCATGGGGTGAGTAGGTGAGGAGACGGGGGTAAGTGAGAGGTGAGAAGGACGAGGTAACCAAAGTGGCGATCATTCAACGAGGCAGACTGAAAGCTGATCTACTGACCTGGACACAAAGAGCAAGAGGAGGGCGTAGGGAGTCACTGGGCATCAGGGAACATGAGCCAGACATAAAGGACTAAGACAAATATAGATGACAAGAGGAGAAAGAAGGGTTCAAACATTACAGGAAGAAGGAGACAGATGTATGTTTGTGTTAGATACTCAGCTGTGGCGGCGGGACAGACACTTACACTGTAAACATTGATTTTCGGATTGACCAGGATCACGTGGATCCCTTACAAACATGTTGTGTTTAAAGGTGCCTTTACACTTGTAGCTTTCAGTCCCACTGAAAGTCCATTAAAAAATTCCATCAAAAAGTATTATAATGTCTTTAGTTCTGCTTCATTTTGTGTTCAACTTGCTGTATACAAGCAAACAAAGAGCTGTGAATTCCTTAGACTGTCAGCTGTGTCACACTTTGTTGCAACTTCATTCATCCTCTCTGGTAGTTACAAAGTGCTTTTTAAGTCATAGCTGGTTGTGAGGATTCTTAGTTAAAATTTATACTAATCTGTCATTCTATAAATCATGACTAGTGAAGTTTTACTGCATTTTAATTACAGGTG